TCCGTAGACTCCATCGCCTTAGCGAATTGCCGCGCGAGGCGTTGACGACGCCTCTGGCGGGCTCTCTTTGAGAGAGTCACAACGCCCTGAACAGTAGAGGCGTTGGCGGGAGTTGGGTTGACCTGATTGGAGGTCGGTGGAACTTCATTTGACGCAACTTCGGCGTCAGTTGGGTTGAGAGCTTCGTGGGCTTCCCGAGCAGCTTCAAACCAACGAGCTTTTCTCCCGGAGGAGAACTTCTTGGACTTGCGGGGGGAGATAGAGCCGGACGAGGACACGTACTCCTCGAACTTGGCTTGGTCGAACTCGTACTCGACCTCCTCCACGACCGGGATTGCAATCCGCGGCTGCGACGCATCGATCTCGTTGGCGAGATCGTCGGCTCCCACTGTGGTCGCCAGATTGTTCGCGTGGAAAACTGTTTTCTTTTTCATTGATATGATTGTCATCTTGGGTTACAAAGATCCGGTCTTTTATAGATCCGGTTACAACTAAATCAAAGAAAATAAAGAAAAATTACAACTCTCCTCTGTGAACAAATCACGAGCTCCTGTTTTGCGGTCGCTCGCTTTGGTGGGTTCTTTGCCTGCGCCGGGGTTAATCCGTGGACCACCGCGCGATCTAGATCCGGTCGGATCTACACGAGTATGCGGGTATTATTCCACGAAGGGAATAATAGCCGGGAGGGATTAATCCACCAAGGGAATAATCGCTCGGATCTCGAGATCTAAGACCAAGCTTAGATCTGGAGTGTAGCCTCGTGTAGATCTCAGATCTGTTCTTTCTTCCTCTCGAGATCCTGCCTTTTCTGACGTGGATGGTCGCCGAGGATCAGATCTGAATGGTGCAAGTCTTCTGGTCTTCAAGCTCCGAGTTCACTCTTCAATCCGGCAGAGTTTCGGCTCTTGAAAGTTCGACCCCGAAAATGAACATCTCTAGGCCTATTTATAGGCTCTCAGGACAGTGGCTGCAAAAAGGGAATTGTCGGCCACCTCTGGCCACTGTCGGCCACCTCGGGGTGGCCGACACTGTGCCTAGCCACCTTGGGGTGGCTCGGCTCATGGCCGAGCCACCCCAAGGTGGCTCGGCCACCGAGCCACCCCGAGGTGGCTCGGC